CCAGTCGAATAGCAATTACTGGAAAGCCCGAAATCCCGCCGTTTTGATAGTTGATTCATGACGATCTTATACAGCCTACGCAGTCCAGTGTCAAAAACTTATAGGGAAATTTCTTGAGAAGAATTTCACCCGGGCTACGGCAACCGTGCAAAATTTGGGTAAACCTTTGTACAATACAACAAAGGGTCCAAAATCACTAAGTAATGCGATGTAGAATTACGAGTTCACACCTCTCAGTTCTACCTAAGGTCTCTGCCCTACAGACACTCTCAAGATTTATTTCCAAAATACATTTTTCAGGGTCACTCCAGGTATGTGTCTACAGATTTGGAGTATCTACACACTATCTGTATCTGTCCCACCTAATGCCATTTACAGAATAATACTTTGTAACAAGTGTGATCATCTGAACGTTATCGGCGATGACTGCCAAGGAAACTACTAATAATTGTACTCCTTATACAGATTATTATACTAACGGTTCAATGTAAAGTTGCTAAATAAGTTCTGCTGAAAGTACGGATAGAACCCGAAACAGATTATTGATCTTATTCTGCAGGGACAAACAATGCATGTTGTTAAGGTGAATTGCTAACATACTGCCGCTTTGTAACTGGCGATTAGTACGAAGTACGAAAAAGGTTACATGAGAATATCTGTATAAACAAAAACAATTTAAGGCCTTTCGTTTGAATTATGTATGTTACTTTAAACTTCACTCATGAGTGACAACAGACAAGTTACTGTTTATCACATAAAAATGAAACAAAGGCTCACATTTATCGACGGCTGTACTAGCAACATAGGTACATTAGAATTGAATCTAAATTCCGTAACACGGGAACACAAAACAAATCGCTCGGTAACTTAAATGAAATACGAGCTCTTACGATAATAATGATGTGTGTTATACAATGCTGCCATATTCTGCATTAGTGACTCCATGTTTAGGTAGTGGGGCATCCACATTGAAACATTCCAGTCAGTGCCAATTTAGAGGGGTTCAGATGTCAGATCCAGATGCTGCACGTGGTTCCTGTTGCGCATTCGGGCTTTTGCGAACAACTTATCCCATTCTTTCCGGTAATCATCGTTCGTGGCAAAGAAAAATACCTACCGTCGTACCCACATTGACTGAATTCTCAAACGCCCAATAGATACATAACCAAAGCCCCAACTAGTGCACCTACCGGAGTTGCAGCATAAGCTAGTAGCTGGGACAGTCTTCCGTAAAATAGCCACCTTATATCGTCTTTCCATTGTGTCGGGTAAAATATAGTAAGGATAGGAGGCGGTAAAGAACAAATGCAATACCATAAAAAGGAAAAGAACAGCGATTTCGCAACGTTTAATCGTCGCTGCAAAATTTTCTGCTGCTTGTGATTTGTAGGTCCAGTTTGATGGCGGAATCGAACAAACAGAAACAGGATAGTATACAGTAATCCCTGGATTCCCATGGGAACATGCGAGCCCATCGCCCCTAAAGCGATAAAGGTTATTCCGCCACCACGCTGCCACCCACACACACCAGACGTCAATCTGCCGTACTTCAGTCCGGGAAGAAACTGAAAGGTCAAGACGTCAATGGTTATTGCAATGAACCATACGCCAATTACAGCAGAAATCGAACAGGTTCGTGATGCCATTTTCGGATAAAAATGCGGCAGTAAAATAGCAAAGAACCGGTTAAAGGCCGGTAAGACAGTAGCCCAGTTCCCAGCGAAGAGAACGAGTATGAAAAAAATCCGGCAGGAACGCAGTCCATGGCAAAAGGTGTTCGCATTTGTGTCAGATAAGCTGGAATATTACTAAGAGGATTAAGGACGCAACAGTACGTAATGTCAATAATTAGCGAATGGGCAATGAGCAACCCAGCTGAAGAGTGCAATTTTCCTAACCGAAACATAACGACCAGGAGGGAAATAATAAGTAGCGTCCCTATAAGGCCGCCAACACATTGCGCGGTAATCCAGATAGTTAGTTGCGCGCGGGAGATCGTACTAGCATTTAATGATGAACTGTTGGAAATATTCCAGACTTTGTGTTCTTGATTCGCCTCTTTCATTATTCCCTGAAAGTATTGACACTAACTCGGTAACAGTACCTATTACAAAACGCTCAATTGCTTGACTGCAATCTGCAAAGTACTTCACAAATTTGCTTAATATCAAAAAGTCCTGATAAAATCCTGGCACTGCTGTTGTTCGAACAATTCTTCTGAACATCTACCAAGCAACATCGCGTCTCAGATTTTGATTTACCCTCTCGGTATTTAAGAAAACCACAGGCTATGCAATTTCGTATTTACGAGTATATGTGGAGCCGTTGCGATGGTTTAACAGTTGTTACTGGCACTTTATCCGGATGTGACATCATTAGTCGCATTACATCTGGTTGATGTTACTGCTCCACATAATTCCTTCGTAATAAACCCCAGTTGTTAGGTTGGTACTTTGGGGCACGGGATCCTGTAATCTGAAGCCGGGCATGAAGCCTGACTCGGGTGCACCTCAAATAACTGTAATTGATTTGCAGCTAGTAGCGGTAGTATTCACGCAGCTGCTAATTAACGCTCTGTCATCCAGATTGTGGGCCTATCGAGAAAAATTCGTGTTTCTGGGAAAGTAATTACCGGCAAACTGGACAACAGATTAAAAATCTGGCTGTTCTCAGAATTTTTCAACTTAGTATTACGTACTGTTCCATGAGTAGGTCATACGCCCACTTACAGCTAATCACAAAACGTCAATAATTACAACCTCACGTAACTTTTGACTGTTAATTAAAGAAAAGCTACAACATTATTTTAGGACTGCAAATACGAGCGCGGCAGAGATTGGTTCGGCAAGCGTTTACGATCTCGCGTTAAGTATCGAATTTAAAGTTCGATGCATTTTACTCAAAATTTTAGCATCAGGTAGTCAAAGCTGCTCGCTAAATCAGAATCCCGCACGACTTGTCGGACTGGTGTGCTAGAGCGTTTGTGTCCACATAGGACCGATCCGGTCGAACACTGCAAGCCGACCGTTCTCTGTTCCAGTCATTTTTGCTCAAATCTCGTCCAAGACGGACAATACCGCGACAGTATTTCGTCAGTGAATGCGCTACCTTGCGCCAACTCTTCCAGTTGCGTGGTATTGGTCCGCGGACCTATGTCGATAACGAAATGTGGCGCCCCGCAAATGCCGGTTGCGGCTTTCGCAACCTAATTTGTGGCGTACTGTACATAAGTTTGTGCGAACTGCCAGCGCACCATTTCACCGGCATCCTAAGAAGATTTGTGCTAGGAAAGTGCACCGCTTTAGGCTAGCACTATAAGACCGAAGCGAAGCTACTGCTACAAACAGTAAAAGGGAATATAACCCAACAAGGTAATACGTTCAGATCTGCCACGACTACTCGTACGAGACTAATAAGACATAAGTTTAAGTACTTAGTTGTTCGATATTCACGATGGAACGGTACTTGCCGTACTTACTATTCCGTATAATGTAAGTAATACAGGAAGTCCTTGAGACGATATTCGTTACAAGAATGTATTTCCGTAACATTTGTATACTAACGTTCTTTACTCACATTAGTACAAGTTTACAAGATGCACGGAGTATTAACGCCGCTTACTGCTCAAGGTACGAGTAAGTGACGCTTACCTTTTTTAAGTTGGAACCGCACTTATCGCACACTTTATACTGCAAGTGATACGAGCAAGTCTTTTGGTTGTTTAGAAAATTCATACATTTCCTCACGTTCCTCTTACAACGCTTATTAATTAGTACACGATGCATGAAATAATAGCACTATTTATTACTACTAAAGCTAACCTTGTGTTGGAACTACGGGTCAACAGCAAACGCAGTACCTTCCTACTGCTTCTATTAAATGTTATGCCGTTATATTTTGTGACGTTTATTGCGCTTGCAAAAATCTTTATCGCAGACTGCAACGAAAATGCGAAAATTCGAAATCACTGCGTCACAAACCGGCTTCTAGTAGCGTCCGCTGCGCTTTTCAAAACCCGATCGCTTGTACGCCCATGCGCCTGTTTTGGGCGCCATAAAAAACAAAAGTTGCCCGCAATGGGGGCGTGGTCCCTCACTACAACCTTGCGGCAGAATGCGCTATTACGCATCCACCAGTCTGCAGTTTCTTAGTGCCTACACACCAACCAAACCAAAGTTTCTTAGCAAGGAGACCTGAACGATGCTGAATGTAGGATTTTGCTGGGTTACGTTATCTTTTACTATTCCAACTGCCTAGCTTTGCTTCGGTCATATACTTAGCGCTAGCCTAGAACGATGCACGTCTAACCTAAATGGTAAATATGCTACCGGAAAAAAAACATAGGGGTTTATCTTTTTGAACAAAAAATATAAAGGGTCTACTATCACTTCGCTGCTAAATTAGTAAGCTATGCGCTGTTTCTTGGTAGTTAGTTTAAGGACATTGTATTAGCACAGTGCTTAATAGAACTTGATCTTAGGACCGAATAAGCACGTTAGAAAGCCCATTAATGTTGTGCCATAATGCTCGGTTAACGGTTTCCTACGTTGTAGTGCCTAAGTGTTATTGAGCGCCAAGAAGTCCTTCCTAACCTTAAGCCTTAACCGCTTACGGGTCAAGCCTTAACTGCTTACGGCGTGACCGACGTGCGTGACCAACGGACAAAAATTCCCGTTTTCTTGAACATAGAAGACCTTCGCTTTGCTTCGGTCGACAAGACAGGAGAATGAATAAATACTCACTGCACTGTTTCTACATAATTAGTGTGGTATACGCAGTTCAGAAAAAATTAATTACTGTATTACTTTATCGATTAAGTTGCAATCGTCAACCGAGACACTTGTATGTACAACGGAATTTGCAAAATCAGGTAATTAGAGTTAACTTTATTGCGCTATTGCGGTATTGTACGTGCGATTACAAGTTTCTTTCTGAATAATTTTTCCAAAGAATGTGAACAACTGTATCACGGTCGATTCAGTAAATTTGCCGTTCTGCTTTATTGTCCTTTACGCAGTATAAAGCTACTCTAAGCAGTTGGCAAAGGTTAATTCGACCTGCGCATTCTCCAATAAGTAAAGTAACACAGTTATAAACACTAGTTTAGAAGATAGAACATTAGCTGAACCTTTAGCGCCACGTGTAGAAATCGCTTTTAAAATACAGAGCACCATCGCAATGCTCCGAAAATTCCGGAGGCTGCTATTACTGCAGTTGATTACGCTTTGCCAAACTGCTGCGCTAGACCATTAATCAAGTCTACGTAACAACTAGGCGGCCGAGCACTGCACGCCGGCCACTCTTTCTTCCAGTCTTCATGCTTGAAATCCCGTGAGGACAAACAGTATCGAGCCAGTACTTCATCGGCGATTTCGCGGACCCGCGCCAGTTCTTTCGGCTGCATAGTATCCGGGCGCGAGCGCGTATTGATAAAGAAGTTTGGCGCTCCACAAATGCCGGTTTTGGTATCCGGTGCGGTACAAAAATAACGTATTTGCATGAAGTAATAGTCTTCGTACAATGCATACGACGTCAAGCTCACTGAAAATAACGAGCAGTTATTGACCAAAGAGATAGACATCTACATGGAAAATTTACTAACAGGGATTTGGTGAGTCGCTGTTGTAAACAACCATCACTTCACGGCCATCTTTCGTGACGTAGGTTTGTGCGAATTGTCCGGCGCACTGTTTGTAGTCCGGCGTCCACCAAGAGATCTCCACGTTGGTCAGTAACGCCGGGGTGGACGTTCCCGGAAGGTTACCCTTCCCGATTTTGGTGGACTTAAGCCAGTCATTGACACGGGGAGGATGGTCGCCGAAGTACAAATAGTTGTACCATACACCCGTTCTCTAAGTGGATGCATAAGATTATACCAGACAAAATTTAGTAACTAATTTTGTTAAGACGTCAGTTTTTCTCTTTTTCGGCGTACCTTTTCGGGACGGATGGCCGGGATTGTGGGTTCGTTAGGAATACATCCGGGAGCCCAGGAAAAGACAACATTCACCAGGAATGCCGCACAGATAGTGACTGCGATCGGTACAACACTATGTTATTTTCGAAACCGGCGTCTTGAGTGTTAGTTCCACTTAAACTGCAACTTCAGCAACTTGTAGAGATTTATGCATTATGACTTGATGACTTACTGGTAAACCAATTTTTCGCCATTTTTGTCTTGGAAAAGTGAAGGCAGCCAGCAAGTAAGAAAAATATCAGTGGCGAATTCAGAGTGTTTTGCACAAGCAATATAGGTAGCTAGTTTGTATCGCTTGAGATAATCGGAAATTACATACAGAGTATGTATGATTTCGTTTTCTAGATTTCCAGTTTGGGAAACAGCGCTCAAATACAAAACGTAAACGTACGTAGCTGTTTGAAATGACCGCACTTTACAAAACAGTACGTATCACGGTAACGGTAATAACTCTATCCGTACATGTAATTTCTGCTAGTTTGCCGGCAATTGCACTGACAAGCATGGCGACATAGTCATTAGTTACATAAACTGAGTTTTTTAGCCGCGTTGCTTGTTTTCCAGCTGTTATCTTGGGTTTATACGGCAGTCCAGGCAAATTTATCCGATTAGCGGAGTTACATAACAAAAAAGAAATTTATCGTTTGTGTTAATCATTACATAAGGACCTGGAAGGCAGGCATGAAGATCAGCCAGGCAGTTTGCACAATGTGTAACCATAAGTGATAAACCACTAAACACAGGAAAACTTGCAGTTTTATCGAAGGTTTTCTGCATTAAATATGCAAGTACTGTACAGTATAACACCCCAGATTAATGAGATAATATGAGACATAATTCCAAAAATTAATACGTTCGGATATAATTTCAATAACAACCAGATATTACTTCAAAAGCTTCAGTTTGTTTTGCTGAACTGAATAAGCGTTCAGAAAATTCGCAATTTACAGCCAAACGTAGCGCACGCCGCTCTGCGAACATCACTTAAAGATATCAGCAAAATCAACGGATCGAGAGGTACTTGCACAAAATACAACAGGTTAAGAATAAATTCCAGCCGATAGCTGTAGGATTCGGACAACACATTAGATAACACGTAATACACCACGCTAGGTGTCCATAAAATTAAAATACTTCCAGTTAAAAGTGTTAGCGCCCAAAAAGCATTCGTTTTCTGCAGGCGCGTTTTGTTTATAATTGTAACACTTCGTTTTGGCGCGACAGCTTGTCCATCGATACCTAAATTTCATAGTTGACGTCAGTGGCTAAAGTATGCGGCATAAATTTCAAACGTTCTATGAATTTTATCCAGTAAGGATTTGGATTATAACTACGATCTGGATTAGTATACCCTATATTTGTGACTTTATGCTAAAGCGATCTAAAGCGATTAATACCTTGCATGCGATTACATTGTTTCTCTAAATAAAACGGACCTCACAGGGAATATACAGAACAACATACCAGTTCTTGCAAAATCGCTGTGATTAACAGCGTTGGTCATCTTGTTGTGCTGATTGTATTTGTACAAGACAACGGGATACATCGCAAAAATGATAAATTCAATAACCAGACCCATAATTCCGCTGAAGTAACTCCAATAAAAACAAACTTGTTTTTCTCGACATGCACGGAACAGCCCGCTTCCTGCGCATCCAACCCGTACAGTAACACTCCCACAAATATGGGACACTGCAGGAGATGTACCACAATCCACGGCAACGCACAGCATATCAGTGCTACCTTCTCTGTGTGATGGAATTTAAAAGACAGCGGGAAAACAATCGCCCAGAGTCGGTTAATCGTGATCAGACAGTGGGCAAACATCGAGCACGGCGCGATGACAAATCCGACGTATAGGGAAAATGTGCACAAGGGAGCAGTGTAAACCGGTGAATTATCGGCGAAACCTTGCAGCACGGTTTCGGTGGTGCCGTACAGTAGGTTAACTACGCAGTTGGATAAGAGAAGATTGCCGACATACAAGTTGAACGGGTTATTCATGCGTTTGTAATGCCATAGCGTAATACACAGTAGAACAGCGTTGGTAAAAAAGCCGGTTGCTATGATTACTAAACCGGCTATTAATTCCGGTTCCAAATAAATTCTGTTGCTGATAATAAAGTCAGGTTTTGCCGTGTCAGATTTAACATGGTCGTGTTAAAAAGACAAATCGCACTATGCACGGCAATTTCGACAGCATAAAGCGATACTTTGAATATCACAACACCAAGAATACGGCGAAGCAGACGCTTGGATGGTGCTGATCTTCATCAGCCAACTCAGCAAGTTATATCTATTTACCTCGCTGGTATTAATCATCTTTATTGGTGTTTTTATGCTGATAGTTTGTACATCGCGTATCACCTTCCTTATGGTCTCAGAGGAGTTGCATGATCAAGCGGCATTCACACTTGAAAGTGAGGAAAATTGCGTTTGCACGGCGTCAACTCCAACCGGTTTGTATCACGGATCCTGCAACTGTACTGAAGCGTGTAACTACCATCGGGCGGAGGTTCTAATGGCTTATCCCGTAGTTGATGATTAACTGGCTTTCGATGATGCGGTGTTTGAATGAAAATCCTTAATTTTCAGTGTTAAATCGTCTTGCGTGACCCGGTGACGGTAAGTTAGTGTGTGTGCTATTGACCGAATAAATTGTGAGCCTTTCTGTGGTGTCTGAAATTATGAATTTGACCTTTGATTAAGCCTTACCACCAGTGTACGGTCGTGCTGGCTGCTTGGCTTCTAGGGCCGCCTAACAACAGTCCTCTTCAAGAGCACTGAAGATGTCTCTTGCAGTATCGGATATAAAAATAATTCAGTTCCACCCCTTAAAGACGGCTGCTAAGGTTTCAATCCTTACCTTACAGGCCATGGCAAGGAATGGGCTAAGGAAAGACTTGCGAAATCTGGCTACTGGCGCATCGCCCCGAAGATGTAAACGTTTCGCAAGAAACTGGTAGACGGCTGAAAGGTTACCAATTCGTTAACACAAAACACAGTTGATTGTGGTGCATTTACAAATCATAACTGCTTGATTAGCGCGCTAGGCTCCTGATGCCAGTTACTGCAGTGTATACTGAGACAAGTAAAATGAACACGTAAAGAAACACCTGCTCTGTTTCACACAATTCTGTTGTAAGGCAGCAGGTTATCGCACCATGTCCAAGACAGCTGCATGTAAAAGGGAATGTTAATCATTACGAGAAGAAAAGAAGCGTTGAAATGGTCACCAAACAAACAACTGATGGCCAAACAAACAATAAACATCTTGTTTACAAACATACTGCATACGACGTGCATTTAACACAAACAATTCGGCGTCACAACACCACCTTATGTTATTGATTTACGATACATCGTCCAACCCGGTGTACCCCATTTGTTTGTTTAAATTTTCCCCACCCATTTCACCTTTCTTTGATTAAATTTTCCTCCTTTTTCTCCCCTTTTTTGTTTTTGCCAACATAACATGCATCATTTTTTGAGTTTATCACTTTTTTGTTTTTTTTGTTAAGCTTTAAAGTAACAAGTGAAACAGTTGTTTATCATTTTCCAAAAGTAGCCGTAGCACTGCAATACTGCAATCGGTATTTTGACGATTTGTGATTTTTTGGTTTTTTGTTTTTTCACGAATAATAGGTGAAACTTTACACTAACACAAAAAAACTCGGATTTTTTGAATCACCACAGTTCTGCAAACAGGACACTGTATCAATCTATCTGAACAGTTATTGCAGCAGGCCAGATGATTACATGGGCGGAATACAACTTGGACTTCATTGTCTAAGCAGACCTTACATTGCACTTTCTCCAGGGGGTTATTTTCTCTTTTCCTAGCCGCATACGCTTGAGATACCTTGTCACAGATCTGCGCTGATTCCTTTGCTTGCTTGGTCTGAACGTCGTAGACATACTGTTCTCCTTTTTGTGCTATGACAAATGGACATATGGGCGACGCTCTGGCGTGCTCTTCCCATGCTCCATCGGTGGGAACCCATCTTTCAAGCTCTCGTCCGCAGTGAAAGCACTGGACGCAATCACCGTTCCGTTATAAAACCAACCGGCTTGGGCCATGACCCTGGGATGCTGAGCTTTTGATTCAGGCCACTCGGCAAATGTAGAAAAACGAGCCTTGTAATCCATCATGTCTGGAAAGCGCACAGCGTAGCTATAGGTCCCCGGAATAGCAACTGGCGCTGACGCCCACACCTCCACGACGTCTTCTCCTTCCGCAGTAATGGGTTCAGGTGTTCTCTTTGACATTGGACAGTTTGGAAACAGTAATTGATGATGCCGCCTTGGGCTTCGGATTTTACCCATCCGGACATAATACCGTCACAATATGCGCACTGAACTTCATCCCCGGTTCCACGATAAAACATTCCGGCTAAGGCCAAGTACGTCAGTGGAAGTAAACTATTGTCCCAATTGGTGTGTTTAAACGTAGCCAGACGATGGATCACATTACGCATGTCCATTTTTGCTGTTTAATGACAAAAAAACTGAATCAATAAAAGCCTGTTTCTAAAACCGAAATCTAAATTTTGCTTGACCATCGTAGTTTATATATAATACCAATAAGGACGAAGCTTCCCAAGTCTCCGCCTTTTACACCTTCTAACAAGGCTTGCAGGGGAAAAAGGCGGAGCAAAATTATCGATTTTTCAGCCAATCGCTACAGTCTTGTGTTGGGAAAGTTTGACCAATGGAAACCATTGCTTTCCATAAAAGGCGGAGTTTTGGAGGATTTTATGCGAATCAAAATCCAACACTTTGCAGTCGCTGTAGTCGTGAGGATATAAAAGGCTAGCGGGTAAACCTTGAATTGTCAGTTGCTTTTCAGTTCCGTAAGAAAAATTGTTTGCTACTTGTTAGTCGCTTTTGCAATCAAAAAATGGATTTTGCACGCACTTTGGAGATTTTGGGAGAGCTGAACGGATACATCATCTATAAGGTCAACAATGTGGTAAGTATGTTTTGGAACACGAAAAAGGTCAGTCTTGTTCTAGCTTTTGATCAGGAAACAGACGGTTACAAAGATCATGAAGAGGCGTTCCGGAAAGAGTGCGTCTGGGATGTAGTGAAATTTCGGACGTCCTGAATAAGTTGAAAGCGGGAACTATCCAAGCAGCGATGGACAAGGCAATCACAAGCAAATCTGCGGAAAAGGTCACTCTTGCCGGACCTGCTTGTATGGATGTACTTCTCAGTATCCATCCTAAATATGGGCGGATGATCCGCTTTTCAACCCGGGCGCTCTTTACAGATTCCATACCGAGGATTTTTTGGATGTAGCTCGCATTGTACAGGACAGCTTCTGGGGTCCTGAGGGAGTGTCCATGGATACGTAGGCTAACAGCATTTGACTTGTGTAACATAATGCACTATTTCGATTTACTATGTTTTTGGTCTTTTACTAATGACAATCTACAGCTTTGTCTGGGATACTTTTAGGTAGCAAAAGAAAATTAAATAGGATAAAAAAAGGGCTAATGCCTCTATTCGCGACAGACTGAGTAAGAAACGTATATAAAGAATTCGTGCTCATTCTGTCGCGATTATGTGTTCAGCCATGGAGATACACAACGTTATTTTGTCCGTCAGGTTTGACAGAAGGATCGACTTGGACGCGATAACCCGTGTTTTCGGGAACGATGCTACTAAGATGAAAAACTTTAACGCCGTTAACCTTCGCTTGAATGGTAACATTCTGTCAACTGTTTGCGAACGGCAAGGCCATCATAAACGGCGGTAAGTCAGTTGATGAAGCGGAGCAACTGCTGCTCTTTATAAGCTGATGTTACTTCTGCATGATTTTACTTTGGAGATTAAGGTACTTAGTATAGCAAATATCGTAAGCACTTACCGTCATAGTACAAAAGTCAATCTTGCCAATTTATACAATAAAAGCAGAACAATACCGGAAGTAAGTAAGGCATTTTTTGAGCCTGAACTATTTCCAGCAGTTCAGATTAAATTTAAGTATTTAGGAGCCACAGTTAACGTGTTTCATACGGGTAACTGCGTTCTTTAGGATGTACATCCGTTGTACAAGTGCAGGCAGTTGCAGAAGCGATAAAAAACCTCCTGCAGTTAATTAACCAAAACTCCCAGTAATCGTAAAATTTTAGACTTTTCAACGGAAAATTTTCGGAATTTTGCGGATTTTACAGGTGTGCTGAACTAGCGGCTTAAGGTCAGATTATCTGAGGTTTTAGAAATGGAAAAATCACTTTTGATTTTCGTTTTAAAACTCCTTGCACAATTTACATTTCAGGACCAACAATGTCTGGGAAATCAACGTTTACGTTGCAACTCTTGAAAACGTTTCAAAGTTTCACTCGTCCCTACTCGTATTGTTTACGCGTACGGTACGTGGCAAGAAACCTTTTCAACTTTTGACGAATCTATTGAACTTGTACAAGGCATTGATTCCATTATTAATGACGAAAGCTTTTTCAGAAAAGGTGATACAACGCTGCTAATTTTGGATGATTTAATGGAGGAAATAGCATCTGCTACTAAGGCATCCGCGTTATTTACCCGTGATGTTCACCACAAAAACGTTTCTGTTGTTTTCATCTCACAAAACCTTTTCAAGCAAGGAAAGAACATGCGTGATATTTCTCTCAACTCACAATATATGGTCGTATTTAAATCTGTTCGCGACACACAGCAAATAAAAACGCTAGCGCATCAGCTGGGCATGCCACACTTGCCAGAAGCTTATAAAAAGGCTATAAAGGAACCGTTTGGATACTTATTAATTAACTTACGTCCGGAAACCCCCGACAAGGCCCGCTTACAATCGAATATTTTTTGGCTACCGAAGAATCTAT